CGAAACAAAAGAAAGAGAGGAACGAATCTTCTGCTGGAACATGGAACCATACACCGCCATATGTTTTGTCTTTTGTGCAAGTAGTAACGAGTGCAGCAAGGCCCTTAGGGCCACTGCTCGTAGGAAAAGGAAACAAAATAAAGAGAGAGTTACGGTAGCCAACTCACCACGTGCAACCCATAACCGGGGGCCTGAACGTGTGGATGGGTGGCCAGATTTGGTGATAGCAGGTCAGGTTTGAAACTATTCGTTGTTTCGTGAGGTCGAGGAGAAAGCGGCTGACATACGGGACTGCATAGGAAACTCCTTGGCACGACCGGGGGTGTTTGTTAGGATAAAATACATGTCCGTTTTTTCGGAGAGTGCATCGGTCGACGAACCGCAGACCCGCGTATACGGATCATCACTGAATGCTTTGTTTGGCTTTGTTTCACGACGTTGTCCCGGGGGATCCCCAAATGTCGCCGCATCCGAACCGGTCCTTAGTCCTTTTGTTTGAGGGAAAAGAACGGTGAGGGACGAGATGCGGTTGTGCTGCCTAACATGTCAGATTTGTAGGACTGCAGAGAAGTGTGAGACTCCGCGGTTGCTGGTACACGCTGCACCGCGCGCTTGTCGTGCAAATCCCTGGTCATCGTTCAGTTCAGTGACATGACGAAAGTCATGTTGGACGTCCGTCTCTGACGCCGTCTCCTGCCATGTCGTGCCCCGGTGAAGTTCGGATCTCGGCGAACTTCGCGTTCTGGCCTCTCTGTTAATTTGTCTCTGTTGTCATTGGCGTCTGGCGGGCCGCGCGAAAGACCCGTCACCGCGGAAGGATCTGCCCGTAACCGGTTTTCGCCCGTCCACCATCAACATGTGCCAAACAGTCGGTCACCGTCGTAGCGAGATGCCAAAAGCACTCTTAGAGAGCCCCGTCGCAAGGTCGCGCGAGCTTCGCGTTTCCTGAAACCCGTTGGAGATCCCGGTTGGCGGGCCCTCTTCTTGGAAATCCCATTGGCACCGTGCTAGGACACCTTGCTAGGACCCCAACTTTCTGTCTGTCTCTCTCGCAGCCTCCTGAAGTTCGGATCCCGGCGAACTTCCTGTGACGCCTGTGTATTGAACGGCCACTTGGGTTGATGATCCCCCTTGGATTGCGACACGAGTCAAACCCTGATCCACAACTGCTCCTCCAGGGACTCATACAATGTTGTCGCGGCTGCTCGTTCGAACTTGGCTTCATCCAATGCCAAGCTGCACATATCAGAAGAAGTTCGGATTCCGGCGAACTTGTCCTTCTCAAGCGGCCTTTTGTGTTAGTGCGGCCTTTCCGGGTCATGGTTCAGTCCAATCTGTGTTTGCCTCACCTCTGCCTGTCGCATTTTCCTGAAGTTCGGATCCCGACGAACTTCATGTTTCGGTGGGTGCGTTGGTTTGGCTTCGGACAGGCACTTTTAGTACGGATCTCGGCGAACTTCGCGTCCTGAACTGTCCGGGTTCCAATTGCTAAATGGAGGACACTGCCCCGTCCAACGTGGGCTTTGTGCGTCACCACCCGTCCATTCCCGATCCGGTGGACATCCGTGTTCCGGAAAAAACCGACGTGGTTGTCGCCCGGCCGCATGAAACGTGTGCCCTTGTAAAGAATGATCTCGTTGCAGGTAAGAGGTCATTGCTGGTCTTCGCGTTAGAAGTTCGCCAGGATCCGAACTTCGAGGTCCTCGGATAGCGTCATGTGACCGACGTGTTGAGGGCAAGGTGTGCCTCCTCTATTTTTCGCCTGTGTTGTGCTTTGACTGCGATTTGACGCTAGCTGGTGTTTTATTTGTTTTCCGTTGTCGTCCGCAGACAATATGTCTTCGTCAAGGGGCGAAGGGGAGCCTGCAGCGACCTCCGGGATGGGATCTGGGAAACATTCTACAAAACGGTCGTCTACGACCTCGAGGACGTGGTCCGACCACGCTAGGTCGAAATGGTTCGTCGACTGGAGCTGTGCTGATGCTACGAACCCATTCCAACAGCCGTGTGGTCCTGTGATCTTCGTCGAAGCCAACAAGCGCCGCAGGGTTCTGGGGGCTGTCTTGCGGTGGGAGAATGCGAAAGGCAGTCGTCGACGGTTTTACATGAAAAATGTGTACGGTTCGAAGGGGAACGTCGTCGCCGGTGCCAAGGGGGCAGTTCTTGACATGTGTCTGTTCGAGGGGTTCGGAGCGGGTGCTGCGAACACCCCGTTCTACAACGACCTCCGGCGGCAGGGCAAGTTTGTTTTGGGTCGAGAGTTCTTCAACCTGTTGGAGGACAAGGGCATCGCCCTCGACGTCCCTTGCGAAGTCAGTCCCGACCTAGAACTGTCAATGCCTTTGCAGCCGTGCGGCGGTTGTGAGTCGAGCGGGGCAGCGGGGGAGGGGGGGGATCTGGGTTCAGGGGAGGCTACACATGTGCAGCGGGAGGATGCCAGAGGTCAGTTTGACGACAGCGAAGATGAGGCGATACCGCGTCCGCCGTTTTCGCCGTCGAGGGAAAGAGACAGGTCCGTGCTGTCCATACCTGGGGTCCGGCAACAGACCGCAGCGGATCCCTGAGAAGAGGGAGTCCTGTGTGGGTCTGACTTGGAGCCCGCCGAGGGCCATGGCGCAGAAGGCGAGGCCGTGGGCGGGGAGGGAGCGCAGGGCACTCCCCAAAAAAGGAGGGGAGAATGTCAAGAAGAGTTGGTGGGCTCTTCGAAGCAACAGAAGACCAAGACTCCGAGGACTGCGGGAGAGAAACGGAAGGGGAGGGGGGTGGAAGAGGGCCACCTGGGTAGCAAACGTCCAGCTTCGAAACACAAATAGCCTGAGTCGGGACCTTCTTCACCACGGCCTGCCATCGACGTGGACGCCGGGTACTTCCTAGAGTACAAAGACGGCGTCAGGACAAGGCGGGAGTTTGAGATCAGCCCGGCTCAGATCGTTGGCATAAGGGAGTGGGAGGATCTTTACAACCAGCGGTCGCTAGATCCCGTCCTCGTGGAAACGATAAGGGAAGCAATGCGGTCTGCGTTCGAAAATAAAGAACAGACGTACGAGTTGCCGGTCTTCAAGCTCGCACCACTGGGGCTTCAAAAACCAACTCCTGGGACCAAGGCACTACGTCTGAAGCCGGAGGAGTGGAAGGATGAGCTGGCGGGAGAATACTACTACTACGCGGTGTGCGGGCAGCACAAGGCGGCTACAGCCAGGTTGCTGCTCGGCAGCGAGGTGGCCAAGAAGTACAATTTGGAGCGGTGGCCGGCACGGATGGTGTACTTTTCCGACGATGACTTTGAAGCGTATTTTCTTGTTAGTTCACAGGACAACAAGGAGGACCTGAAGGCGCCTCCCAGACAGTTGAAACTTTCTATTAAAGACATTCGATGGCAGTGGAAGCATGACGGCTGCCCGAGAGCTGTGATGGGGAACCCTAGCGGGAAACAAGATCAGGTCCGGGCTTGGCATAAGTTTTGTACAACCGCACTCCATAAGGCGCCTCAAAACAGCTTGTGGCTTCTCGCGGATCAAAAGGAAGAGGAGGCCATTAAAAAGCAAAATGTTGCCCTGCGTTCTTACTTACCTCTGGCGATAGCCGGGGAAAATGTCTGGAAACTGGCCGTGGAATTTTTCGAAAAATGGGAGACGGGCAGATTGCTGAGCCACGATGGGGCGAAGTGGACTGTCAAAAAGAAGAAGGTAAAAAACGTAAAGCCTGGGGTCGCCTACATCCACAACGACAAATTGGGCAGAACGGAGGTGGTGTACAACGTCCCCGTGGACTCGCCGAATAAAAAGGGCAAAAAGGAGAAAGAGGAGGGCGATTGGTTCGTGCAAGTGCCAGACCCGGATGCGCATTGTTGGAAAGCAATGGAATCACTCACGGACAATGAGAAGTGTCGCGTTCTAAAAAAGGTGCTTGCTTGCGAGGTCGCTTGGGTCCAGGCCGGCTCCCCGTCGTTGGCGAAGTTGGAAAAACTCAGCGTGCAGGACATGGTTCAGCTGGTGAAGTACGACCGCGTGCTGGTCCGGTTGTGGAATTACTATCAATTCAAGCACGAGCAGAGGTCGGACGCGGACTGGATCCAAAGGTACCGTTTTCTGAAATCGAGGTCTGCCGTGTTCAAGAAGTTTGAAGGTCAAGGATTGGATGACGAATTGTGGGATAACAGCAGGAAACACGTTTCCGACTCGGCGCTGTTCAAGGACTGCCCGCCGTACATGGGTTGCGACCAGGACAACTCGATTGAGGTGACGGAGAAGTTGGCGGGCCACAAGAAGTTGTCCGTCGACTGGAGAAACAAGGTTCTCTCCATGTTGAATGGAAGCAGACTGAAGAGCCGGGAAGTCGCACTTGCCGAAGGCGTCGTTCACATTCAATGGAAAGACACGGGGGACGTGACATCCATCGCGCCGTTCGCCGACGAACCTTTAGAGGCGGACATCAGGGACGCAGAGCTGAAGGAGGCAGTGGCTTCCACAAAGAGCCACACGTTCGTCCTCGATCTGTGCGAGCCGGTTGACCTCAAACTGTGGAAGCCCCAAGCGTGGGAGACGTTGAATTCCTATCTTCAGACGTGGTGTCCCTCTCATTGGACTCTCATTGTTTTCGTGCTGCGGCAGCACAACCTGTCGTTTCTCGCTAGCATGCACCATCTTTCTTTCGTCAAGCTGTTGGAAGCGAAGTGGGTGCGGAGAGTGCAGCAAAAAAAAAGCTTCCCCGTTGGGAACAATTTGTACACGGAGGAAGACCGCATGTACATCCTCTTCAAGGGTGACGATCTGCGCGTCAACACGTCCGTGGTCTACGAGGGAAACCTGCCCACGGGTGTCGCTGCTGCAGTGCGATTGCCTCAGAGGTTCACCCAGACGGATGTGTCTCAGATTCCTTTCACGCCTTGCGACTGGTCGCTGGTGGCGCCTGAACGACAGGGCAGCGTCTACGGGGATATGGAACGCAATCCGATCCAATTCGTTGGTCTTCTTGATTTTCTTGGCAAAAAGGGAGAGGGTGTCATGTTCCTTGGGAAACCGCACGCGCGAAGCGTTTGAGAGCTTCTTAAGGCCGGCCGGCACGTTGTCGCAATGGAAGGGAACTCCGACCTCTTGCAATTCACGATGCGGGTGGTGAAAAGCAAGGTCAATTCGAGTGGGCACAATTGTGAGTTCCTAGTCGTGAGGCCAACACGGGATAAGGTGTGGAGCAAGAAGACGGATATGTGGTTCAAGTTGAGCGAGAGGAAGAGGAACAAGATGTACGATTTCTTGTTCCTTCAAATGCGTCCGAGGAGGGACACTGACGCCGAGTACATCCGCCGGAAGGACCACATGTTGGCACTGCTCGACAACTACCACTTCGCCTCCCACATGAACGCGAAGACGTTTATCGAAAGGCTGCAATCGCTGTACTTCGTGGAGTCCGAGGAGCAGTTGAAGTTAGCCAGTTACGCTTCCCTGATCTCCACTGACGACGAGGAAGCCATAGGTGTGGAGTTTGTCGCCAACGCGAAGGAGGAGGAGAGCGACACGGAGAGCATCGACCTGCAGTACGACCCGCCTCCGGCGGACGACGGCCGAGGGTCCTCGTCGGCCGGTCCATCACCAAGCGCTGCAGCCCTCGTGTCACCATTGGCCAAACCGGCGCCGGGCACCACGCCGATGAAGTTGTTGGAGAGACATAGAGCTCTGGCCGCCCCCCCGCCCGCTTTGCGTCCCGGGTCCGTTGTCCCGCCCGATCATCCGTCTTGGAAGGATGACAACATCCACTTCCTGCTTGAACCGCAACGTCATTCACCTGAGCAGGACTGGGGCCATGACATGGTTTGGCATCCGGGAGTCATCCAGCCAGCGATACGAAATGGCAAGTGGGTCATGGCCGTGGCAATCCCGGGCGCGGGATGGGTGTCATTCCCACGCGAGTCGAAGTCCAACTTCCTGCACCTCGCAAGGATTTCGGTCCTCCAGAAAGTGAAGGTCGAAAATGACACTTTAGCACCCGACGACCTGTCCCTCATTTCCACTGTCGGTCGACTGTTCGACGAGCTTCAGGACAAGTGCTGGTTGGAATTGACGGAGGACTACTACAAGCTCGACACGAGTCCGTCGAAGGGCGTGGTGGACTGGAAAGTGTCCCCTCCCAGTGGGTCGGACGGTGGTTCCGGAGGGGGGTTACATGGAAGCGGAGGGGATGGGGGTGGCGACGCAGGGGGTGGCGACGCAAGGGGTGGCAAAGGAATCCCGCCTATGGGGGAGAGAGGGTCTCACGGCCGCAACACGACACCGGGAGGCAGCGCCGGGGTGGCGGGTTTCGCCGTCGACCGGACTCCGTTGACAGGCACCCGGCCGAGCACACGACACACTCCACCGACCCCCAGACTTCATCCGTGGACTCAGCGAGGGACACGTTGGCAGCCTTGGTTGCTCTGGGCAGTCGCTCGGCCGGAAAGCCGAAGTCCGCCGGGATTCGAACTACGTCGGGTGAGGAGCAGCCAGAGCGGTCCGGAATGCGAAGTTGCTCGGGGTCGGGGGATCCAAGCACGGATCGAGAAATTCGCAGCATTGCGGCGCGGGGCGGAGATGTCGGAAAGGTGTCGCCTAAGCGGGAGCGACGGCCGCAAGGATTGCAGCAGGAGGCTGCAAGTGTAGGGTCCGGCGACACGGAGACCACGAAGTCCGCCGAGATCTGAACTTCTTCGGGCGGGGTTTGTCGGCCAGGGATTATCGTGCCGTTGAGAGGGGCAGCGTGCACGGGGACGGAAGGGCGGTCCTCGCGATTCGGCACGGGTACCGCGAAAGGGGACGAGTTTCGTGGGAGGGAAGTAGGGGAGGAAATGGAGGAACAGAAGGGAGCGCAAGAAGGGGAGGAAGAGGGGGAAGAAGAGGTGGAAGAGGAGGAAGTGGGAGAAACGGAGCTAATTGATTTGTTTGAAGGAAGGGAGGGTGCCGGGTTTGGAGAAGACGAAGTGGAACATAGTGAGGACGATGCCGGATCTGGAGACTCGTGTGACGAGTTCGGACAACTATACGGAGACCATCACGAGGATGATGTCGATGACGATGCCACGGCAATAGAGATGGAGACACAAGTGGTCAGCAGCCTTTCCGCAGAGCCTGAAGATTATGCGGTCCGGCCACTGACGTCTGCTGTCGACTTGCAGCACCGGTTCGACGAGGCTTCCATCGCTATCAGCCCGTCTGAAAAAAGTCGACGTATAAGCATCGACGAAGTTATCGATGGTATCCTCGGCGACCACAACGTGTCTGCCCGTCTGTCCGCAACTGCGAACGTCGCATCTTCCGTGGCAGCTGCCCTTGCTTCGTCGCCGCCGAAGTCTCTGGTGCTGCAGGCCACCCTTGCCGCCGAAGGGGAAGGCGAGTGCGGTGGAGGACAGCATGTGACGTCCCCAAAAAAATCGAGGTTCGGCGGTCAGGCTCTCGACGTGCTCGCTTTGCCTGCGCCAAATTCACCATCGAAGGAGCGGAGAGAGAAAAAAACTGGTAAGCCATGAAGAACGCCTGCGCATCCGGATGTCGCCGGATTACAGTCCGCGCTATACACACGACGACTGTCCACACTGTCTGTGCATACAAGAAGTTCCGGATGCCGGCATGCTACAGCCAGCAGCCCTTCCTACTCCAGCTCGTCGGCCTATCTGTGACTTGGCCAGGTTGCTAGTCGAGGGTGGCGAAAACTTCGTCCAAAACCTTACACTCCATCCAAGGAAGGATCTGCCCCGGCTGAGGAAGTGGCCAAGGTGCTAAGAAAGTGGCCAAGTACATGGACTGACAATTTTCCCTTCTCGGGAATAGTGCCGGTTTTAGTCCGCCGGGATCCGAACTTCCTTTGTCGATGCGTGATGTGGTCAGTCTCAGTGGGGCTGGTGTGTTGAAAAGTCCGCCGCAGTCCGAACTTCAGAGATTGCTAGCCTCCGGCTTCTGTGACTTGTGGTGGTTTTCCTTTACGAAGTGCGGGGAATGATAAGCTCGAATGTTGCAGTCGTTTTGTTTTCCAGTCGCACAACCGCACCTGGGTGCACATGACCACGCGAGATCAGGGTTCTGTGGTCGGAGAGGTCCTGCTTGACTGTTGCGTCTGTACGAATGTATGGTTCTCATTTTTCGTTTTGTCTTTCTTCTGTTGTACAGGGGTGGTGTCGTCTCGAACACGGAGGTCCTCCAAATATCCAGAGCACATATTGCAGAAAGTCCCCGGGTTGAGTAAAAAACACAAGGATATGTTAAAGGCATCAGGGGTTAATGTCGAGATCGGGAAGAAGGAGTACACCGTTGCCATTGAGGAATGTCTTTCCCTTCTTGCCCCAAAGAAAGGGACATATCCACGATATGTGAGTAGGGGTCAGGCCATGTATGAGAAGTACTTAGCAACGCGTCATGCACCGGGGGACAATGTCTAGAACTCCGTTTCTCACTACCCCACATGTCCTTCGCTCGATGTTGTGCAGTGCGGGCAACAAGTGCAGCACGCGGGAAAAGTTTCACTGCGACGATTGCGCCTCTTAGCTTGCGTGTTTTTGACAACATTGTACGACGCTCGGATTGCAGCAAAAGATCTCCTCACCCTCTTGCATGTCAACGGCAGGGTGAATGATGAGGTGGTCAGTTTCTATATGGCGTTGTTGGGGTCGACCGCATGTGGGTCACATGACATCTCTTCAGGCCTTCAAGTCTTCAGCTTTAATTCGTTCTTCTTCAGTAAACTGCGACTTCAAGGACACGGTGGGGTGCAAAGGTGGGCTAAAAACGTAGATTTGCTTCGTTACGATATTATCTTCGTTCCTGCCCACAAAGATGATGATCACCGGATCGTCGTTTCCGTCAACATGAGAGATGATGTTCTCAAAATTTTTGATTTTTTTCCTCGCATTGTAGCTGATTCTAGTTTTTACCTTAGTGTTTTCAGGTTGATTGTGCAGTATTTGGATCGTCAAAGATCACATAGGCGGTCGGGTAGGAATTGGAAGTCCATGGTGGGAAATGTTGTGGTGGATGGAGTTCCGAGACAAGTGGATGGAGCAAGCTGTGGTGTGTTCATGTTGATGTATGCGACGTTGTTGCAACATGGAGATCGACCACCTTTCCGGTTCTCTTGTAAAGATATTCTGCTTCTTCGACGACAATTAACATCATGTGTCTTAGAACATCGTTGCCTTTGATGGATTTGATAGACTTCGAAACTTTTTTTTAAGGTGTTTCATTCGTTGATCGTTAAATTTCGTAAATCGAGACATTATTCAACTGTCCTTCTACCAGAGGCATTGCTTTCTTTTATCGTTCCGAGTTCGCGTTAGCTACGGCAAGCTCAATGCATGTCCTGCGTCATGTATAAGCTTTGTAATCTATGTCACGTAATGTTCCATGTTTCGAATTCTGTTCAAGTTGAAGTATTGTGTTCCATGTTTCGAATTCTGTTCAACTGAAAGTGTAAACATGATTGTGAAACTGGTTGGTGGACGAATGAGAAATCTCATCTTATGTGAAATTGGTCAATGGATGTCCAAACCTTCTTTGCATGACCATTTAAAATGCGGATATTCATCGTGATGGAGCACAATTTAATCTAATTGAATCTAATTACATCGCTAATTTTGTTTACAAAAGTTCAACAACTATGAATGTCAGCAAACTTTCGCATTTGGGGCGACTGGGCGGGCATGCCCATGTACAAACACTGCAGTCAAAAATGAATTCGAAAGAAAGAGGACAGTGTCACAATATAGTTACTGTATCTTTCATCACATTAATCAAATTGAAGTTTGACAAGTTAGGATCACGGCACACTTCCGCACAGGGTTCCCTTTGGCGTGCCAATTGTTGTTCGTTTATGAAGTTTTACTAATATGGATCCCAACACACTTCCCCACAGGATCACCAACATGTTTTTGAAGTTCAACAAGTAAGGATCCCAACACACTTCCACATTTGGGATTTCATTCATAAAGTTTCACAAGTATGGATCTCAACACGCTTCTGCATGTGGTTAACCCCTGGATGGGCATGCCTACGTTGCTTAGGCTGCAGCCAAAATTAATTCGTTAGAAAGAGGACACAGTATAATGTCCTATTTTAACGAATAACGTGTTGGACCTGACTTCGGATCCACAGTACATATTGCTGGCCTGCTCCACTCTCTCACGAAATTTGTTGAACGTCTCTTTAGACGTTGAGACCTTTGTAGATGCACTGCGGGGGTCCCTCGGAAAAAGAACAATTCAAGAAAGAATACGTGTGCTCGATTTATTTTTTTTTGTGCCCTTCGATATTTTAGAAGGGAGGGGTACTATTGGCTACCTCAGCCAGCCCTCTGCAATGTTTTTTTTACTCTATTTATTGGGGTGCGCGCGCATGGTTGCACGTGCACTAGGCGCCGCACGTGCGGAGCTCATGCGCATGCGATCCACCGGAGTGTAGGGGTGATATAGGGGGGTTATGGATGGTTTAGTAAGGGTGTTGGCGGCGGTTCGGGGCTGTTGGGGTGGTATAAGGAGGTATTGGGGCCTGCTATGGGGGTGTTGGTGATATTATTAAGGTATGATACATACACACACACACACACACACACACACACCGCCATTCCCCAGGCCCCTCCAGAGCACCGCCGGCAACCGGTACAGGCCCAGGGGAACCTCGTTCACGAGCCTCGACGTGAGGTACGTGCCTGTAAATTTTGAAGTCATTTGGCTAAGCCAACTAAGAATTAAAAATTGTCAAAGATGGCGGTGTCAAAACATGCTCACCCACATATTTTTTCACTTTTTACTTTTTATTTTCACTTTAGTTCGGGGTCTAAACAATTTTATTATTTTTTGAAACTTTGTAAGTGGGTTTTGTATTATGTGAAGTACACATCTGTAAATTTTCAGGGCATTTAGCTATGCCAAAAAAAAAATGAAAAATCGCCAAAGATGGCGGTGTCGAAAACATGCTCGCGCACTCACTAAATTTAATTCTCTTTTTATTTTTATTTATTTTTATTATTAGCATTTGTTTTCTGTATTTTATTTTTGTTTTAAATTGAATAAGGAATTCGGATGTAATGCTCAGGAAAATCTTATTTAATTTAGTTTTTCCCATGACATATCGTTTTTTGAGATTTTTTTTATGACTTTTTTTTTTTTTTTTTTTTTGGGTCCGTGTTCGGTCCGAACGGCCGAACGAATCCCCAACAGGTCCCATACGTTCGGGGGTTCGGCCTGTCCCGAACGCCGATTACCAGGGTAACCGGCATCGGGGACGGGCCGAACAACCGAACCTGAACGCCCAAAC